AATGAGGAAGTAAATAAGGGATGAGACCACTGTTGGGATTATGTCGTATTTAGTCAATGGCTTATTGAGGGAATATGGTAATATACTTTCTTCTTTTCCTAATGCTATTTACATACCTTCACTGTTGGGATTTGCTGTGCTTGTTTGCATCTTAAACCTTCAAATACTCTTTCCAGTTGTTTTGTATTTCAAAATACTGCCTGCCCTCCACATCCTGAAATAAAGTAGGCTGGGGCTGTACAGAAAATCAGCCACTGCTTCTGTAACTTCAGTGAGGACGGGGGGTGAGGTGGGTGGGGAGCCTGGGTATAGTGTTATATTAATGAATCAAAGGAATTTGTACTTTTTCCCCGTGTTAAGCTGTACTGTATTTCCTATCTTGTGTTTCTCCTTTTTCTTCTCAACCTTTTTGAGCAGAAGGGAAGATACATGGATAAAGTAGTTTATTTTTGTCTGGATTGGGGTAATAGCATGATTTGCTATTGTTTCCTTTTGCAAAGTGAAACATTGTAGTTATTTCTATAAAATGTATTGTGACATTACATTTCAACCACTTCTGGGTACATAAGAATCATGGTATTTTAACCGTGTAAGAAAATTAATGGTGGAATCTGAAGGGCCTCTACAAGGGACTCAAATAGATCTGGCTGTTTGTGGAGCAGGCTTGTTTGGAGGCAGTCATGATGTTCTGTGCTAAACTACATCTCAATCCATTAAACTTCTCTAAACTTCAAGTTAAAAAAAAAATTAAAAATCCTGTCCTGTGGATACTGACCACTAGAAGAACTTTCAGCTTTTTTAATCACTCATTTCTTTTGTTGACTTTTAATAGTCTTTTCCTCAATGTATTATTTTTGTGTTAGGTGGGGGAAGGAGCTATCCAAATTCACAATGAAGGGCTTCTGCGCTTTCAGGTTTTATCTTCCCCCTTCCCTATTCTCCTTCCACTCCTTCCCACCAAAGAGATTTTTATATAAACTGAGTGGTGGAAACACTTCGGACCTTAAACTGTGTTTTATTTTTTGATTATGAACCTACTAATGAGTGAGTATTTTACTGGTTTTGTTTGTACTCCTCATACATGTTGATATGTCATCTTTTAAAAATAAAGACTAGAGGGTAGTGTTTCTGAAAATAAGATTAGCGGGAGATCTTTGTCATGAGTAGCACGTTGAAAGAAGCTAGAGGTTTCAAATCAGCCTGATAAGAAATTCACCATGAAGTGCTTAGAGAAGATGCTGAAGTAACCACAGAGCCGTTAGTGGTTATTGCTGAGAAATGGATGATGAGTAATACTTGCTTTTTCCTGGTCTTCAAACATAGTGTATGTCTTTACAATCAGAGGGAAAGCCAAGGCAGCACCTTAACATCAAGTGCTAGAAAATCCCTGTAACTAACTAGAAGTACCATAATAATAAATAGGTAAGTAGCAGCAGAGATGATTTGTCGTGTTAGATCAATCTAACTGCCTTTTCTGACAGGGCAAAAATACTGCACTGAATGCACTATGCCCTCTAAAAATATTTGTGAAATGTTCTTCCAAGCAAGCTGGAGAAACATATCAGTAAAATTATTCAAAATAGTGATTATCAAACTGGAGGATGTGGCAAATACATGCCAACTATTTGGAAATATTTAATATTTTTGTAAAGTTAGTGTGCTGTTTACTTCATGTATTGCACTCCTAGCTGATAGAAACTGAGGGCAAGCTGAACAACTGGATTAAGTTAACCCATCCTGGTTTCCCACTTATTTTCCTTATGCGTGATTCAGATTTATAATGCCAGGGACTGAGCTTTCCCTTTCAAAAAATTTGTTGTGGGGAAGTAGATCAATGTTGAAGAAATGAGTATCACTTAACTACTTGCAATAGAAAATTGTAATCGTAACATTTACTATACTCTGTGATGTTCGAAAGCTGGATTCTCATTATATTAAGTACCCCTTCATACCAACGATTATTTTCTTTATAGTGGAGTAATAAACCACGTTTGTCTCAGTAGCCACATTGGATTAAGATGTCCCCAGTCCTCAGCCTTCCAGTTGTGTCTATCCCTATACCATGGCTCAGCAGTAGAGCTGGACTCCAGGAAGAGTGTGAGTGACTGCATTGTACACCCATCACTGGGCGGGAAGCCTGCTTGAAAAGAACTTAAAAAGTGCCTCCTTAATTCAGATTTCTTCCAGTGATTTTATTGGTACAGTCAACGTGCAGCAGTTGGCATGAAGGTGAAGGAACAAGGCTGGAGGTCTTGAAGGAGAGGGGAGAGAGGAACTTAATCCGATTTAAGTTATTTGCAAGATTTTGTTATGGTTATTTGAGCCAACAAGAAAAGAATATCTAGGCTCAGTTTCCTACAGCTTTAAGCACAGAAGGGCTTTTATTTCAGAACAAAAAAGCTACTTGTTAGCCTGATTAGCTAGCAACTCATCATGTTACACTTCACTGGAAGCTGGAGAAGTCTATCAGGAAGGTATCCATGTATCACTTGCTCTGCTTTTACATTCAGCTGTACGCATTCACTGTTGGCTGCTTTTGGGAAAAAGGATATTATTGAGCTAAACCGATTTTGGTTCTGGACCTGTATAGCGGTTTTTATGGTTCCTTTTTAACAGGTTATTAGCAAGAAGTGTGTTCAAATAAATCTTGTGAACAAAAGTAACAGATAGGACAGAGTATGGATTGGAAATTGCTGATCCAGATGACAAGTTGTAAGTTATTGCAATGATTTAGTAAAATGATTATCAAATGGGTTTAATAACACATTATAAATAATGGCTAAAAGATAAAACTGGATAAGAAGTGTGGGTTTATAAGGACGGTTGTATATTATGGTTTTATCCAATAAGTGTGTCTTGTAATGGAGAAACAGCAATTTATTTCAAAGTAAATGTAATACTAGGTCTTTTGCATAGCTTTGTATCAATTTGTAATGACATGGTTATAGTTCCAGCTTACTTAAATTTAAGTGTGTTGCTTAGTGTTTAAAAAAAAAAAAAATATTGGGGGAGGGACAAAGAGACAGGTTAGAAAAACACATCTGAGGGCATGCTTCTTATTTTTCTTGCAGTATTTACTAGGGAAAATCATGTGGCTGATGGAATTTCAAGACTGATTTGAGTAGAAACCGTGTGAGAAAGAAGTTGCTATCAGGCTTAGGGGTCTGGGCCAAAGACATACAGCATATTACCTTCACAGAAAGATCAGACTCTGAATTTCTAATATTTCCAAAGCAACATCTTTAAACTTTCACTGTTATTTAATGAAGTCTTTTACCCATGTATAATATGTCTTTCTTGGCATACTTCCAATTCTTTGTTTAAAAAAAATTAGCATAGTTGCCTAGATAGGAAATAGGTAGAGAATTTGATTTTTATATTATTTGCCTCCAAAATTTTGCATATGAAGCATTACTGGAGTATTTTGGGTCCTCTTTATTTTTGTAATGTGATTATCATATTTTTTTGATATTTTTAATTTTATATCTATAACTGATACTACTGTGTGTAGTATCTGCCAGTTTCTCAAGTTAAACTTTTGAAATACTTCGAATTCTTGCCTATTTAAGGGGTGCCTTTATAATATCCTGAACGTAACTTCTAACCATTTTGGAGAGATAAAACATAAAGCACCTTGAAGAAATCTTTAAAAGATTCTTTAATAGAAATCAAGGATTTCTATTGAACATCAATTTGAAAGGTGTAACACACCTCCTGAGAAGCCCTGCAAGCTTGGAGCCTCTCACCTGAAGCAGGCTGTGTGGCAAGGAACCCCAAACACCCGCCAGATGAGCCAGCACAGAGCATGCAGGTTTTCACAAGAGCTCTCTGGCTGTATTTCATTGAAAATGCAATCACCCTAGGAGTCTTTACTTCAGAAATCAGAGTTTGACAAACTGGCATTCTCTGATTTTTTTATTTTTTTTTTTTCCCCCATCAAAAAATTACTCAGCTAGCTCTAATCAGTGCTGAAGAGGGCTGAAAGAGCCTACAGTGCTATTTATAGTTTGTGTACCTTTCTTACTTAAGAGTAAGAAAACAGTACTTTACATTCCTTTTAACATAAATGCACACTATTGTTATTTTGATGGAAAGGTCAATGAACTAGAAAGTGTGCTTTAAAAAATATTTCACTTGCCTAACACTTCCATTCTCTTGAGCTTTAATTGTCTCTTATTTCTGTTTCGATGCTTATAATGTCAAACATTAACCTTTTAGATCAAAATTTTCCATCCCAGGTGTCTGTCTCAGGCATATTTTCTGTGCAGTTTCAGTTTAAATAGTACTGTTTTTCCAGGAATGAGAGCAGGGGAAAAACTATTTATTTGTTTATGCTTAAATAAAACCACATAGCCAGAAAATTCCAGCTATCCCTGCCCCATGATTTGGAGCAGTTTGGCAGGATCAGCTGACATTATGTCAGGCTTGTTTTCAACTCTCCTGTGAAAGTGAGCTGAAGTATGGCTAAGTTATGAGACTCAGAAAAGTTTCACCTACGCGTTCTCAGCAGATGTTTGTTAGAAGTGTCAGAAGATGCGTTTCATACTGTAATTCTCCTGTTTCCTCTGAACTGGTCAAATGGGTACCTTCATTCTGGAGGTGCAGGAAATACACATGGCTTTCCCGTAACTCCTCCTTCTACCATACCTGAAAGAAGAAAAGGACTGCCTCCTCCAGTAGTGCGGACTATTTTGTTGGCAATTGGGCAACATGAAGGAAGAAAAAAAGTAACAAGGAGTGTCAGGATGAAGCAGCAGCCTGGAGGGGGGATAGTGATACAAAAACATAGGCAGAAAACACAATCTGCGAGAGTCAGACCAAGGAATAGGAATAGAGGAAATCACACTATGGAAAATGAGGAATAAACGCCTAATAATTTCTTAACAACATTAAATTCTGCTTAAACCAACCTTTATACAGACTGCTACTTTTTCTGGCAGAATATCTGGTCCACAAAGGATTGCAGCATCCCTGAGAAGATACTTTTAATACTCCCGATCATGATCCACCTGGCTTCACAGCAAAAGGATGAGGATGGAGAGACGGAACCTGGGCTGGTCTTCTGGGCTTACTCTTTGACACCGCCGCTGTCTGCATCAGTCTATCCTGTATCAGGTAACGGGAGCTGGAAGACCCGTAGAAGCAAAACATTCCCCTCTGAGATTAAGAGCACACTTGCAATTCCCACAAGTTCCCTCCGTCAGCACTGTGCTATGTGACCGAGAGACCCTGGAGTTCCTGGCAGAAATGCCCTGAGCTTGACAGCACCCAGGGACATCCTGCATGTCTCAGGAAATGGGGGAGCCAATATAACCTTTAGAGTTAAATCTGCCCTCCAAGGGCCAAAACAACTAAGAAACGGGAACTACAAGGGCAATCCTAATTTTTGAGGTTTTTAAATTATAAATGAGTAAATGACACTTAGAAAGCTGTTGTATTTAATGTTATATTTAGGTTGTCTAAACTGGACACTAGGAAGCTAAAGGAGCTAAGCAAAATTGTTAAAAATGCATGCACAGTACAAAAAAAAAAAAAAAAATCAGAGCCGACGACAAAATAGCTCAGATTTTCCTCAGAGATCTGGCTCTCATGATAAAAAAAAAGTTTCTCATCGTTGTTGTGCATTAATCTAAGTTTGTGTGCAGTCAGCCCTGACGAGGTTGGTGAAACTCTCGTCACTGTAAGCATCCCTGTGTACCTTCTGTCTTATACAGTGCTAACATGAGAACTGTCCCCACATTCATTAATTTTATTCTGATTAGAAAAACACTGAAGTGGTCTCATTTACATATTGCTGAACAGAACAGATGCTGCAGGTTTCCTGAAAAATCATTAGAATCTGCATTTCTATTCAAAATACTTCCAGTTTTGTTTAAAATGCCCTGTCACCAGTATCAGAGGTGATATGCAATAGACTTCAGTGACTGGTAGGCTTGCAGCAAATTAACACCTTTTCTGACTGTTAACGAAAAGAAGACACAACCTTACAAATGGGGTTTTCTTTCCAAATTTGGAAAATATAATGTAGCAGCTATTACTGATAATAAAACCTCAGATGTTCAAACATACTGTAATTTACTTTGCAAAGGCAGAAATCATGTAGTCATAAGACACTATATAGTTCTGGTATTACATCTATAGCAGGAAGCTTAACAAGAATGCTTCTTCCTGATTACCAAAGTAAAAATTAGTGAGAATAAACCTTTTTTCTTCATCTTTGTTTTGAAGTAAAAAGCAGAAAACATAATCTGTTAAATACAGTGATTTTAAACCAATGTCATTAAACCAGAACAAAACCACTCTGCAGCCCTTCTGTTTCAGTTTAGTTCAAAACAAAAATTTAGTGCAATTGGCTTGGAAAAAAATTATATACTTTTTTTTTTTAAACAGAAATCCAAACTGAAAGCTTGGGATATGTCTCATTTTGGGAGAGAGTAAATGAAAGCTTTCCAATTAAGTTTCCTACCTGATGAATTACAGAAAGACTATTGTTGCCTCCTCTTATTCAGGCTTTGTCAAACGAGCTATTGAATTCTCCTATGCTTTTAGCGTTAAGAAGACAGAGCAGGTCAAGAGTGTGGAGAACTCAATGTCATGCCTCACTGCATGTGGGAAAAGCAATGTTTCTGTCACACACAGACAGCGTGGCACTGTGTCGAGTGTGACACTGCCCCTCTCTACATCAGAGAAGCAGCCTGGCTGTAACACCAGCCCGCCATTAGTACAGTGACAGGAGCAAGAACTTCTAGCACTGACAGAAAAGATGGTATTACCATAGCACAATTTATAATTTTGTTATGCCCAAAACAGCTCATGTATTTTTAATACAGCACTAAGTGTATTGGACTGTTGCTAATACTGATTTGATTTCTGAGAGAAGGCAGAGGAAGAAGAAAATGATAACATTTACAATTTAAATTATTATATTTGTGAAATTTAATTTACTTCCCTACTAGGATTATCTGCTTTTAGTTTCACACTTGTAAGCACACAGGCTGGCTGAGCTAGAAAGCTTGAATGGAATTTTCAAGTAACAGCAGATCCTAATCTTGGCTTGAAGGAAAGCCTTGGTGTGAGCTGATTTAATGAGATATTTATGTGAGCTGACTGAACCCTAAGTTTCCTATTTCATTATTATTTATGGAATCTCTGTCATTCTTCTAAGTCTATAATCTTTTCTAAATGATGAGGAATATATGCTTTAACGAATATAATCATTTCTTTCTCTTTGATACTCTTTGACTAGAGTGATATAACATTTTCTGTTTAGTACAACTATGTATAATACAGTTTCAACGATGGCCATATTGCTAACTTTGCTTGGATTCAAGACATCAAAAATTATGATTTACTTATCCTGCAAAAAAATGGTATTGCTGATAAGAGACTGATACCACTGGAGCCCTTGGAAGTCACTTTCCAGGCGTGAACAACAAATTCCTGAGCCAGGGCAGCACATGCTGAAGGTTCAGAATGGGACGCTGACATCCCTGTTTAACTTTCAAAATATGTGTATCTACCCCTGGTTGTGTGGGGGGTGGAGGGAGGGCCGCAGCATCTCACAGGCTGTTTCATTTCTCACTGAAACTGATTTCTGAAGAGTAGTAATAGACTTCTGTGAAGAATGGCTGAGAAGACTCCCTTCAAAATCTCAACTTCCTAAATGCTGTTGTGCTTAATTAAAAACTTTGGATTCAAAAGTAAATAAATCTGAAAACGGGTTCTATTTGTTTATTAAACTGCAGTTAATATGTTTTTAGACTATTCCAGAAAAGTTCCTGTTTCTCACAAACCTTGGTTTTAATTGGCAGTGGCAGTTAAAAGACAGCATGAAAAGTAAAATACCTGCCTAAAAATCTTTTTTATATTTACAACCGTTGAGGAAAAATGTCATTTTTTTCCTATATCTTACATAAACAGAGACTTTTTTTCAAATTTCTTTCACTACACTTGTATGATAAACATAAAATCTGGATTAAAGCTCTTCCTAAAAATATTTATCCCAAAATATTTTTTTTAAAACTTGTAATATAAGCTGTGGTAGAAAAATAGAAAATAGAGAGATATGATGTACTGGTATAAATTTGTTACAGACCAAGGCATAGTATTACTGTAATACTTCTAAAGCTCTAGAAAATAAGATTTATAAATGAAAACAAAGGAATACCTGGAACTACCTTGTGTGGCCAAATGCCTCTGTAAGCATATGCTCAGAGAAGAGACTGATTAACAAACAGTATTTCCTATATAGAAACAAGAACTTAATCTGATTTTTTTTTTTAATGTTTCCTTTTTGAGTAAGATGAATCTAAAATCCTTTAGTTTTTGCCAGTTAGGGGCCACATTCTGTGCTTATTCTCAATAATGTCAAAGACTTCAACTGTTCATTTTGCAGACAGTGAATTTCTTTTTCCAATTCATATACTAAACAAGAAATTTCTGTGTATTCAGAAAACCAAATTAATTTTGATTCCTGGGGTGGTTGTAGGGCTTCAGTTCCAGAATAGGGTTTCTATTTTTGCTTTATTGTGGTGGTTGGTTGTGTTTGTTTTTTTTAATTAATCCTATGTTTGGTTAATAACAGCAACAATTCTTTTGTTTCTGGCCTGCTCCTGTTCCTTATTCTCATTTGCTGTTTGGTGACCTTTGCTTTTTCCCTACCTTTGTCAGTGTTTAAGAGGCACACAGTGAATTATAGGATAAGATCCAGAGCATCTGGGTGAGAAAAACCACCTTCTTGGCCAGAACAACCTACTGTCCCGAGTTACGTAAACAGCTGAAATTCGATGGGTCCATTGCTACAATGAAGTGGCAAGCTTAGATAACTGAGAGTAAGTAAACGATGAGTGTATTGGAGCATAAACTGTACAGTTTCTGGCTTCTATTAGCAGGATGATCTCCAGTAGGCAATGCCAAGCCAAGCCCCACAATGCATTAATTTTCCCTTATTGCGCCCCAAGTGCGCCTTCACTTGCCAGAGCCTTCCTGCTTCTTCCTGCTTCTGGCAATTAGTTTCTATCACAAGGAGTCCCTGCCCAGGCAGGAGTTCTTTCACTAACTCTATCAAGCAGCAGTCTTCTGGCAGAGGAAAGGCAGCCGCTAAGTGGATAGACTAAACTTCCAGTGCTAGACTTTCCTCTTCACTGCTATTTCTCAGATCACTTCAGTGCACTATCGTGGTTCTCTCGTGCTAGTCTGCATGGCAAAAGATCGCAGTTCCATGCTGTGAAGCGCAGAATGATGTTCTTAACATTTTCTGTCTTCAGCAACACACACAGCAGCCAGATCATCTCTGTGCTGTAGGTAGGTGTATGCTCCAGACTCTTTTTTAGGACAAGACTAAGGCTCTTCTGCTGCCTTTTCCTTGTCCTGCTTCCGGAGGGTATGGGGAGTGTGAACGGCAAAGAAGCTGCAGTAGTTCTCCCTGTCCTTTTGCACGATTATAATGTCTGCTGCGTATCGCATGAAGCATTATCTGTCCTGCAGTATACATACAGGTGCAAAGACAGAAAGGGCTGGAAAGCACATTTGCTGTAGAAAGTTTTTAAAACCCCGATACACGTGCACATAGAAGAACATAGAAACGGAGATGAGACGTTACATAATGCAGAAAGATCAGTACGTGCTGAAGTTATACTGACTGCTGTCTTGATAGCTCATCGTTACAAGCTATTAGATATACACTACCACCTAGAAGAACAGCGAACTGACTTAAGACAGATACTAACTTAAAAGCTATGGAAATACTAATCTCTTTCTCTTGTAAGTAAATTAAAATTTAAATGACAGTATAATAAAGAAACTTTACTCTGATTCCTTACAAATCAGCCATACCTTGCATCTAGAAAAAGCTAAACGAGGTCAGATTTATTCCATTCCAATATGTGGTAATTTGCATTTAGTAATTTTACAATAATATATTTCAAGGTGACAAAGCAAATCTGATTCCCCAGGGTACATTACAATGGATTAATTTAGAAAGGATTAATTTTCACTTAGGTCATTCTTACCCTCATATGTGTATACACATATCTGAACACGTAACAGTTTTATTACCTTGAAATCATATTTCCTATTTGGCATGTAAACTAAAATTGCCAACAATTTTGATAACCATTTTTCTCCACATCTGTGACATAAACAGATTATTATCTCAGCCCAGAGAAACATGAAGGCATTGTTTTAATGTGTGTAATTTTTATAATCACTACTCTTTTGCACAGCTAATACGCGTTTCCTCGTGTCACATTCCAAACTTCGGGGGTTTTTTTCCTGTCTTGCTCATGGTCCTGACTCTTCTATCTCCGCTTCCTGTAGCTTTATTTACCAGCGCAGGTTTTGGTGGCATTTGCTGAATCATGCTGATTTAGTCTGAATCTAAAGGAAGCAATGTCTTCGTCATAAGACACTATATATACTCCTGGTATTAAAAGTTACGACAACAATCTCAATCAGCGTAAGAACTAAACCCAATTCCCATGACTGAAATACTGGAAAGCGAAAGTCTGCATTCTATTGAAACGTGAGCCGATTTCTCCTGAAGTTTCTTTTCAGATTCAGAGACTAACTCCAGCATATATAATGATTTTTAGGTCTTGTAATGCAGCTATGAGAGATATATCAGATGTAAGAATTCAGAGTAAAGGCATCTATACAAATAGCAGGTGAAATTCTGGCCCAAACCCAGGAAAAAAGTGCAAAACTTGCACTAAATTAATTAAGTCTTGATTTCAGAATTCCAATCTCCCAAAGCAAATCGAGCTCTTCCAGGATATTATCAACTATTAAATGCGTGAGT